TCTGACCTAGTACATGTGAGCTATACGGTAACCTGTTGTCACACCTCGTTCAACTGGATTCTAATGTATTTACAGTTTATTGGAGAAACCATAGTTGTTTTGGTGCGTATATTGTTAATTCATGAGGAGGGGGGTGGAGAAAACCCAGTTAAAAGCCATTAAAGATGGCTCTGTTATGTAGCTCTCCACTGGAAATCATTTTTCAAAAGTGTAAATTTTAAAATTTTCAGTCATTTAGAAATAATCCAAGGTGGGTGGCTGTAAGCCTAACAAGATTTTTTTATTAATAATGGTTGACTTTAAGGCTAGTAAGAAAAGTTTCTCTTGACCAATTGCCTATAGATGATGAGCTCCAGTCAGAGTGAAACCAGTTCTCACGCAACTGCAACCGTTGTAAAGTGTGAATTGGCCCTGTAGTACTGTGTCTGAAACAGAAAGAGCTTTGGGAACTGATGAGTGATATTTTCAAAACAGCGCTTGAATTGCCAGGGATTTTAGGACTGTTACGTTTTTAAAACAATATTTTCCTCTAATAAGTAAGAATTGCTAAAAAGTCAAATAACCTGGGGTGGCTTTGTTTTGTTTGTCTTAAGCAATATAAATTGTAATTTGTCATTGTAATTACTATATATCTGTGAGTGGTAGTTTAATTTATCCAAGTACCTCTTAAAACAATCTTGTAACCAAATGGCTACCTTTTCATGCTCTTTGATCTCCTACTGGCTATTCCCTCCTCAGTCACTTTGAAGACATGCCCCAAAGAGAGAAAAATGGGGCAGCAACCAGATGCGTCTCGCTAAGTGGAGGCCCACAAGGGACTGGGCCGCCTGTTTCCCCCGGCTCGTGGTGGTGGCAGCCAGGGTCCTGGCTCGTGGTGGTGGCAGCCAGGGTCCTCATAATTCTGTCTGCTGCCCCTCGGGTGCCTCTTTCACCGTCGGCGATGGCCTGGTTCTGTGTACACCCGTAGATCTTCAACTACCCCTCTCCTTTTCCTCTTTGCCTCCAACCATTCTTTCTTTCTTTGAGTACCAGAAAACAATGTTGCAAGCTAAGTGGTTATATCAAATGCCAATTTATATATGACGGCTTTTTCAAAAGGTGTGGCTGAGAAAGAGTCTAGGAAGTACTTTGTTATTTACAGGAGCACACGATGTAAAATAGAGTTCAATTCTAGGTGCAGGTAGGTAGTTCTAAAGCCAGAATGTTTGTGGGTTTTTTGGTCTTGTTTTACAGAGATGCGTGTCCAGTAGGACTTGGAGCGAATGTTTGTGTTCTGCACTGCCTGGCACGTTGCAAATCTCTTGCAGCCCGCTTCCAACCCCGTTGTTGCTGTGCGGGTCCCCAGATCACTGTGTAAACTCAGTGGGCCTTACCCCATTGGGAAGCTCTGGAGACATTTGCAAATTTTAGTATAAGTGTAGTGGGGAATATGCATTATTACACTTACTTTACTTGAGATTTAAGACATTTGACCTACTGCAGTGCAAGGCTTTTTGCCTTCTTGCAAGTGCAGAGATCACGTCAAGGCTGAAGAACCAAACCAAACCAAACCAAACCAAACTCACTGCCATCAAGTTGATTCCAACTCATAGGGACAGCCTATTCAAAAATGCCACCGGAAGGCTGTGACTACGTGCTTGATGCAGATCAGTGGGGCATATGTTATGGTCTTTGTTTTGTTTGTCTTAAGCAATATAAATTGTAATTTGTCATTGTAATTACTATATATCTCTTGAGTGGTAGTTTGATTTATCCAAGTATACGAGAGATTCTTTTCTTGCTTTGATTGAAGGAAATTTTGGAAGTAGCAGCACTGGAATTGATTTTAGACATAGCCATGGGAATGTTAATGTGTTAGTTGGGAGATCTGGTGACGCTGTCAGGTTAGCATTTGAGTGCGAACCCCAAAGGCAGCTGTTCAAACTTACCAGCTTCTCCATGAGACAAATAGGTGGCTATCTGCTTATAAAGATTACCCACAAGGGGTTGCTGTGAGTCAGCATTGACTGGACGGAAACAAGTTTGAGTTGCTTTTGGTAGTATGTAGTAGGTTATGAGATGGGTTGCTAACAGAAAGGTTAGCAGTTTGCCTCCATCAGTTGCTTCCAGGGAGAAGAATGAGGCTTTCTGTTCCCCTAAGGACTTAAGGCCTGGGAAACCCAAAAGGACAGTTCTCTATTCCTGTGGTCGCTGTCCACTCAGTGGCAGAGTTTGGTCTTTTGGTTTGTTTGAGTAGACTGATTTACACTGGTAGAGTATAGTGAAATAGTCTGATTTTAGGACTGTATTGAGAGATGAGATTGGAAAAGAAGTACAACAGTTTACTGAGGAATTTCCCAGGAGGAGGTGGATAAATTGCTATCTGTAACTCAGGAGCCCAAGACTTACAAAATAGGAGCATCAACTATGAGCTGTTGGTGCAAGTCATCAAATCGTAGGAGGAAAGTGGCCATTTGAGGACTGACCTCTGAGTACGTGAAAGCTGGGTGAGCTGATAGTTGCCTGTGTCTGCTGCTTGGCGCTTTTCCACGGACAACACCCACAGAGTAAGCACATCAAGTTAATGGTGAGCTTTCCTTCCTGCCTTCCCTAGGGTCACCATTTGGAGTGCCTTTGCAGTCTTGCCTGTTTTGATTTTTTAAGGTGTTTTGCAAGTTCATGATGTAACTTTTCTTTTTCTCCAGTTTTATTGGCACATAATCCACATCATACAATTCAATTGTTCAGTCAGGTCAAAAAGGATTGTACAGTTATTACCAGTCAGTTTCTTTTACCCCCCACCCCCACTACATTACCTTTGTAATGAGCTGTGTAATCTAGTGCTCCCTCCTCCCACCTTCACTGTTTACTCCCCAAATCCCCTCACTCACCCCATGTCCCCCTACCCACCCTATGCCTCCTACAAATCCCTGCATCAGTTATTATCTGTATGCAGCCACTCCTGTTCTTCATAGACGGTTAAACCCAACAGAAATGATAAAGAACAAAAACTAAATGAAGTGGTAAGGACAAAACGATAGCAATATAAAGATAAAAATACCACAGTGGGCAGGAAAGAAAAGACTTCGTCTGTATCCAAAAAGCCAGGATCAAGCAAGAGATCCTTGTACCCAGAACAAATTCAGGTTGGGTCTAGAGGGAGGTCAAATAGCCAACTATCAAGTTTGATCCAGCCTGATCAGGATTATAATAATCTATGTTTGATACTAAGGCTGTTCTAGACCTTTGCCTGTGGCTAGGGGGCATCTGCCAGTGGTTTAATCAGCAGGCTAAATATTCTGCAGATGAGTTTGGGGCTCCCACTGCCCTCCACAAACTGGGTGTTCACAATTTAAGCTCTGACACTTTTCCCTTTGTCCTGTTTGAATTTTGTCCTTGTCATCTATGGATCACACAAACTGGTGTGTTTCCTCTGTGTGGACTTAGACTTAGTTGACTCCTTGCTTAGTTGGCTGCTTGTTTGAATACAAGCCTATAAGACCAGCGACACTATTCTGGTTGGTAGCTGGACACCATCTGCTCTCTTCACCATACTTGTAGTACCCTTATCTTCAGTGATCACTTCATGAAGGTGAGTTCTGAGCCGGGCCATGTTTATCAGAACTTACTGTTCTTGCACTGGGGCTAGAGTTAAGTAGGCTCCCACTTTGGCAGTCATCTTATGACAAAATTGAACTCCCACTACATTAACACCAGCAGCAAACTAACCAGCAAATAATCAAACAATCAAACAAAAATAATGGAGCCTGCGAATCTTCTCTGTGTCATTCCAGTTTTAGTATATGTGCCGCCGAAGCAAGCACAGCAGCCTTGCCTTTAACTAGATTCTTTATCTGCTATCCACTACATTTTTCCCTAGCTCTTAATCAAGAGCATTGACTAGTATAGCGTTAACTAACTTGACTTTAGGAAAAACATTTCCCCTTGATATTTTTTACATTCATTTCTAAATTGGTAAGATTTCAAATTTAATAGCAATGGATTCACAAAATAGATTTCCCTTTGATATTTTTTACATTCATTTCTAAATTGGTAAGATTTCAAATTTAATAGCAATGGATTCACAAAATAGATCTTGAAATGGTAGAAGATAATGTAGCTGGCTAACGTCGTGCTTGGGAATTACTTTACTTTGCCCTAAGACTACAGTCAAGCCAGTGCTGGTCAGATGCAGTGTTGGTGCTTGGCTGCTCTCTCTCCCTGGTGGCTGCGCAGGGGGAAAGTGTGCTCGTGAGATCCAGAAGGATTACAGCCCTGAGCTGCAGTGTCGAAGATGGCTCAGTGGTAGTGAGGGTTTGGTTTGGGTACGGAGGAGTACAACAACCTTGTGAGGCGTTTTCCTTGTAATGTCTGTCCGATCCAAGCTTCTCATACGAGTGCAGGGAAACCATAATGCAGTTTGAGTGGTTGCTTGGAAATGTATGTTGTACAGACAGGTAGTGTAGAGTCCTAAGGCTGCAGTCTAAATTAGTTGGCAGTATAGAAACTATGAGGTGGGGTCTTTAATAAAAACGCTGTTCTCCCCTCTTGTTTTTTTTTTTTACACTTATTCCTCTCATTTTCAGCATTTCTGGGATAATATTTCTCAAATGCTGGTTTTTATTATATCACTTCTGTGCGAAATCACTAGCCACTCCTCAAGAGAAAAGATGAGGCTTTCTACTCTCATCCTCTAGGGAGTTTCTGGGGTAATTCCTAACCGGGCCTGTGATTGGGCTGATAAGGAATACCACGCTGCAGCTGACATCGACAAGTGGCACTGTGTGACTCAATGGGAGGGGGGAAAGAATGGGACTTTTAACCGCAGGCCCACTGACTGTAGCACACTTGGGCTGGTTGTCTAATTCTTTGTTCTTTTTCCCCAAATAAAGGCTTTTAAGGAATTGCTAGTGGTGAAACTTGTGGCTTTCAGTCGTCCCTCGTCATGTAGTGCATGCGTACCATCTCTAGAGAGTCTGGGTTAAAGCCAACCCGTGATTGTAATGTTTTGACATTCTTAGATGTACAACGAAGACCAGGAGCAGATTTGAAGAAGTTCAGCGTGAACTGGTGCCCATGAGTATGTCAGAAACAGAGCACCTAGCCTGCACTTCCGGTGACAAAAACACTGGGCAGACATTGGAAAGAGAGGAAGGCCCCTGCAGTCCAGTTTCTGGTGATGGCAGCAGTAGCTTCGAAAAAGAGTTGACTCCATTGTCATCAAGCATTGCTCCAACTGTGTGCCAGCCTCATGAACACAGCGACGCAGCAGAAGTGCAGGAGAGCTCCAGTCCAGGTCACGGTGGAGGGGAGGATTCTTGTGCTCACACAGACCGATGCCCAGAAACGTTGGAACAGACTGCTAGTTTTCCTGATGGGGATTCTTCAACACAAGTTTCCCAATCCAGTGAAGCAGTGCAGACAGTAACACAAATCTTGGCGGAATTAAGGTCATCTGCCTTTCCAGAAGCAGCCAATCCCCAGAGCCCCTACGACACAGACTCTACCAAGAAACTTCTTTCAAAAATAAAGACCGTTTCACCTTCAGAGGATTTGTTGGAAGAAATTGAATCTGAGCTCTTATCTACGGCGTTGGAAGATGAACACCAATTGCCGAATGGCATGAATAAGGGGGAGCACGCACTAGTGATGTTGGATAAGTGTGTACAAGAGAAGTATTTGCAGCAGGAACATACCATAAAGAAGTAAGTTTCTGATTCCCCTCAGGTGTTAGATATGGAATCCTTTAAAGGAAAGCCACAGTTGAACTGTGGACAGAGTGGTTGATCGATAAATATGTATTTGCTAAATAATCGAGTAATTACCAAGTTTGCCTAGCTACTTAATGTCTACATATCAAGGGAAAATCTTAATGTTAAATAGTATAAATTCATCAAAGATCGAGAAATCTACATCAAGACAAGTCAAATTTTTCAGTTTTGAAAGAATGTAGAAGGATATTCGATCTTGCAAGTCTGGCTAGACCAGAGGAGGTACACTGGTACAGATAGGAACTGAAAATACAGGGAATCCAGGAC